TTTCTTTCTAGCGAGGAGTGTAATCATATACACATAATTAAAGATGCAAGGCTTCATTTGGTCAATAAAGTGTATTTGTCTTTACGTTAATGTGGCTAATGGAATAAACCTATTGGTGTAAACGTCTAAGCTAAGCTGTGCTGCTTTTTTGCTCATGTCAGACACCAGAGAAGAAGTCCAATGACCAGAGATGCAGGAAGAGAAAAGGAGACATCTATGACAGCAACAGCCAGGGTAAGTGCAACCTACTTACTGACAGAGAGAACATATTCCAAAATGTTCAGCTTGCCTGTATGTGTATATGCTTAGGAACATAGTATAGGATCAAATGATTACAATGTTTTACTTTTTTTGTAGGAAAAGGGAGAGGGCACAAAATCAGTGATTATTTTGAGGTGAGTACCTCGTCCTGGTGACTGGTGTGTTGTCTCAAATCACTCTCAAACTTTGGTGCAACGTCTTCACCCTCACGTTCCGCCTCTGCCAGTACGGTCCTTCATCACATTCTTCCTAAATAACAACTCTATCTTCTTTCTTTCTTTCTTGTCTTTCTTGTTTTTTCACTCTCTGTCACCCGCCCTGTGGCCAGTTCACTGGTAGCAGTGGCTCTGGCACCAATCCGGCCCGGGGCCTCCCCATGCTGGTGCGCTCCTCTCCCCAGCACTCACTGTGTAATCCTCTGGTGAGCACCAGCATCCAACTCCATTAGCCTTCTACTGCTTTGGCTTCTCCTCAGCTGGTTTGCTGTTGGTTTACCAGCTGGTAAAGCTTTAGCCAATGTCAAATTAGTCTCTGTCTATTTTCTCTTGGTATTGGTATCCTCTTAATTGGAGAGGGTTGGTTAGGCATGTATCAATAAAGATTTGTTTTATACCAAATTCTGATCCATTTAATAGACAAGTGTTTGATTTGTCTGGATCCATTCAGCCAATGGAAGTGATGAACATTAATTTGCATCGGGGTTGTGAAAGAGATAATTTACTGAAATATTTTTGACTTTAACAGAAATGGAAAACAAGCATGAAATGGAGTGAGTAGCCAGGACGGGTCAGCTGAGTGTGTGTGTGTGTGTGTGTGTGTGTGTGTGTGTGTGTGTGTGTGTGTG